TGTCATGTGAGGAGAGGCTGACAGAGCTGGGACTGCTCAGCCTGGAGAAGAGAGGGATTGGTGGTGCAAATCTTATCATTGTGTATAAACATATAATTTAGTAAAGATGACTCTGGCAGACTCTCCTCATTGGTGGCCAATGGAGGACAAGAGCAATAGGTACCATTTGAAACACATAAAATTTATCAGAACGTACACCACCTTTTTACTGTAAGGGAGGTCAGGCACTGGCCCAGGTTGCCCAGAGAGGCTGTGGGGTCTCCATCCTTGGGGATATTCAAAACCTAACTGGAGAAGTCCCTGTGCAACCCACTCCAGTTGACCTAGCTCTGAACAGGCGGCCGGACTAGACAATCTCTGGGGATGCTTCTCCATCTCAGCCATTTTGTGATTTTGTGGTGGTCTGCAACCTCCAATTCTCATGATTATGTCTGAAGCCTGTGAATTTACAGAATGTTTCCAAGTTTTGTTAGCTATCAAGCTTGTATGTTTTTTGTATTGTAATGGTTAGTATTCTTTTAAGTCAATTCTGTAGAAACTCTTCATGCTAAGAAAACCTAAAGAGATTAAATACAGGTACTAAAACATTCTTACTGTCTTTAGATGATTATAATGAGTTGTGGAATTGGTACTATGTGATCAAGCCCATGATATTTGAGATGTGTGTTTTGTCTGGCCTTTGTTTCATTAGCTTTCTTACTGGATAGAATGAATATTCAGTTGGGAGATACTGAAAAAATAATATATTTGTTTTATATAGAAAGTGGAAAAATATTATGCTTTTGAGATTCCGGATGTTCCAGCAAAATCTGAATACTTAGAAGTTAAATATTCGGTGAGTATAATTAATGTGATGAAAGACCATAACCTGCTTTCTTACCTAATTAAGAATTTTATGATTTTACTAAAAAAAACTACTAAATTGCAGGATTTAATCTTTAGTAGCTAGTGGCTGTACCTCTGTTGCAGTGTGTAGTTAGTTGTTCATTGTCTTGTAATTAAAAAAAAAAAAAGAGGTTAATACCTGAGCTTGTGGCTTTTTTTGTTATCATTTGTACGTTGGTTAGTCCTTAACAAAAACAGTTCATTACCAGGTAACTTGATAACATGTTGATTTGTTAGCATTAGCTGTATTTGTGTAAATAAAGCATGAGGGGGAAAAAAATACTACTACTACTACTGCATTCCTCCCACCTTCTCCCCCAATTATAATTTGCTTACTGATTTACAATAATCTATATTCCCAATTATCCTGCTTTGGTTTTTATCGCCTTGCCACTGAATCAACTGATCAGCTAAACAACCCTTTAGCTGTACTGGATCAGGGCCCGAAGTACTGTAAAATGTTTCAAATTACTTAGTACCTTTAAATGTTTTGTAGAATCCATGTCTAGAATATAGCTGATATCTCTGCTTATATGGCTCTTGCAAATAGTAGCTGGGTGAGAAAGCCTTTTGTTGAAAAGCTGTAAAATTGAGCAGCAAAGATGAAAAAAAGATGAAAAAATGAGAATATCAGTAGCTATTCTTAATTAGCAGAAATACTTGATTTGGTTTCCAATGTAAGAGACTCAGCAGTCTTAAACCTATTTGGTCAGTTGCTGAAATTTCTTAATACTAGTTCTATGTGTAAAAGCAGCGTCCCGTAGAGATTTGCTAGCTATCTCAATTTTTTCTTTAGCTGTGCGGAAACATTTTATCCAGTCTTACATGACAGACAAGATTAAAGATGTAACTATTTAATTAACTTTACAACACAAGCAGTTTCTGTATTAAAATGGTCATTGAACATTGTTGTAGTCTTGGCTGATGATCATATTTCTCTTACATCCAGTACGGATGCAGAACTTTTGCTTCAGCGCATTTTTACATTACTGTCCTGATGTTGTTGTGCACCTATTTAAGTTGAGTCAATAGTATAATTTCTTCAATTACTGTAAGGTATTATGGGTAAAGGCTTTGCTTGTGGGAAATTACAGTGGTTTCAGGTATTGTGTAGTTTTGTTAAGGCACTGTCTGAATATAGCGTGTCAACCTTGAAGACTTCTGTGGGGTGAAACGACTCACTGCTTTCTGTTACTTGTTAGGCTGAATGCCCTCGACTTCCCCAAGATCTGAAAGGACAAACATTTTCACACGTATTTGGAACTAACACGTCTAGCCTGGAACTTCTCTTGATGAGTAGGAAGATCAAAGGACCGTGCTGGCTGGAAATAAGAAATCCACGTATGGTGGTTTGCATGTGAAATGCTTGGTTGCTGGAAAACACACGTAGTTACAGATTGGGGGAGGAGGGGAATTATAACTTGTACTGATAAATTACCATTTTGTAAATCAACTTTGCAATTTATCTGTGTAATTTTCATTATCTAGTACAAATTGTAACTTACTCCTTTTTTGAGTGAGAGCTCTATTTATATAAAGTTGCACACTGTACAGATGAGATTATAACTTTGAATGGCAGTGAGAGGGAACTGTGCAGTGCCTAGCAGCTACTCTTTGGTGCATACCCTGAAGCCATGTATACTGCGCTAAAGTTAGTTTCCTAGAAATTTACTCTTTCTTCTCTTGATAACTTAAGATTTGGGGTTTTTTTCTGCAAACGTATATTTTTAAAAACAAACTGCTGCTAGATGGCTTTTTTGTTTGTGTGTTAGGTGGTTGGGTTTTTTTTTTTTATCCTGGCACGTAGAAAACTTTGTGGTGCAGAGCTTTTTTTAGTTTGAAATCCTTTCTGCCTCATGAGTGGCATGAGCCACTTACAGGTGGTTATGCTGCCGTATTTTGGCTTGGTTAGAGCCCTTTATTCAATGTGTGCTGCATATTCCCAAGAAGTAGGGAGGTTGATCATACTGGGCAAAAGCCATATCTGTTAGTGCAATCTCCTTGGGGCACTTCAAATATAGAATTGATAGTATTGAACGCTGACACCAGGAGGATTCTTCTCTTCAGCACCTCACTCAGTCACTGGCAAAGCTGACACCAGTAAAGATTTTGGGCTGGAACAGACAGGACAAATTCCTGACTGCCAAAAGACAGTTTAGCTCTGATGGGTTTCCCGCCAGACACTGGCAAACATCAGTGTACTTCCTGGCACTGATTTTAAAGGCCTAAGCGTGGCTTTTCATCTGCACTTTGCGCCCAAGAATTAACCTTGTATTTCTTTGGTATTTCCTTTCTTCACCTGAGAAGACTCCAGAGCTGTTTCGTTCCTCATAACCAGTATGACAAATGTTATGGCAATGATAACTAACAGTTCAGGCAGTGTTCAATTTTTCTTAATGCTGATGTGCGTTTTCTCCCCTCAGACTACTTTGCCTGAGCTCAGATACTGATTCCAGCCCAGAGTTAAATGGTAAACTAAGGGAGCTCTTTTTTTCCCATTTCCTTATCTCCAGTACAGCCTCCAGGTTACAGAGTCTGCATCTTGATATCAGAATTGCTCATTTCAAAACTGTGGCATGCCCACTCTGTTGCAAACTGTCTGTTAAGCTGGCTAGTTATATTTATGCAAATTTCTGTAGTCATTGCACTGGATTTTGTGCCCCAAAGCTGGATTTGTGTGTGTGTCTAGTGTACCAGAAGGTTCTTGCTTTCTTGTGTATCTTCCCTTCCACACTTCCCATAGAGGGTCTCAGGGATAAGAAGTATACCTGGAAGGTTTAGAATAAGTGGGTCTCAAGCCATTTGATCAGACTCCTACAGCTTCTCCAAAAACTGTCATCACTATTCATAATGAAGCTGTCTTTGCAGTTTGCGTATCAGGGCGAGATAGCACCAGAGCTTTTCTAGAGCAGCAGTCTCCAAACTTACTAGATTTTGTACCCCGTCAGTAAAAAAAATTGAGCATGTACCCCCCAATATATAAAAATAATAAATAAATATCTATACATGTACTACTATACTAATACATTATGTACCTTATAAAATAAACACAAAAATAGAAATTAAAAAAGGATGAGGTATGTGAAATAAACACCTTTTAAAGTATTTATTTTATTTATTAGTGGTACAAAAAAAATTTTCTTCCCACACCCCAGTGGATTGTCTTATACACCCCCTGGGGTTCATGCACCCCACTTTGGAGACCATTGCTCTATGGAGTGCTAGTTGAAGCTCTGGTTGTTAAGATATTGGAGATCAAAGAAAAAAAGGTGTTAAGCAATTGATCACCTGTCTTCCTTTGGCAAGATCATCAGTGTTTTAGGAATTAAAATATTTTAGTCAGTTACCTGTTTGCATTTAGAGCAAGAAAAAATAAGGAGGGTAAAATATGTGGGTTTCTAGAGAGGGGTCAAGTAATTTTGCAGGGAGTAAAATAACCAGGTTGACCAACAGCTGTCTTCAAAAGGTTAATCCCCCAGAAATGTAACCTCTGCTTCTTTCTAACTGCGTGTAGTGATTTACCTCAGCAGCATCTTTTGTGAATGATCGCTTTTTTTTTTAAAGCAAGTGAAGAATTACAGACCAAAATATTTAAATGATAATGGGTGGTGAACATGTCTGTCTCCCCGCCACCCCCCATCTATCTATATAATTTTTAGCTCTTGTACACTTTATGCCTAAATAGCTTTCTGTGGCCTCCCTTACGTTTTAGGATAGCTTTACTACCAGGGTAGGATGAACTCTCTTTTTATGTCTTCCCCATCTCCTTATTTCCATAATCGTGTTTCTGAAGGACTATATCTAAATGAATTATCCAGTACATTTCAGTCAATCATATGTTCCTGTTGTCATTTGATGAAAATTTTTCTGATTAGCACTCTGGCTGCCTTTTCTGTAGCATTTAAGACATTTCTCTGTAAATGAAAGTTTCACTTGTATTAATTCAATTTTTATGAAGCCTTCTCCCTTTGGACTGACTACAAGGTTAGATGCTAAGAGGTAGTATATTAATATAGGTGGAGTTATGCTCACTTGGTTTATGCCTTTCTCTACTATGACTCTGTATAAAGCTGCCTGAAGTATTTTTTTGCATTACACATCTTCCTGGCCTCAATACAAATCTTCCCTCTCTTCTTTGGTGTTAAAGAACCCCTGGTGTGACTGGGCTTCTGACTGGGGAGTTGGGGCCCAGGGAGGTACCAAAAATTGGGCGGGATTAGTCTGGATCTTGGGCTGTCCCACAAGGGCAAAACGTTAAAAGGATGTGCTCTGTGCAGCAGCGCCATTAGAGAAGCCTTACCTGTGGTTCCCCGAAGAATGAAGGTGGTTTGTGTTGTCTCCTCAGAGCCTTCCAGTCAGTCAGTCAGCTGGTGCAAGGTGGAGGCTGTGGCCGTGAAGCCTGGCTTGGTGAACGTGGTTAAAGATCTTTCTTCTGCTCCTCCTCCTCTCGTCGTCATGTCCCTCAGCATGAAGTCCACTCAGAACCCAAAGACTCATCAGAATGAGGTAAGCAAGCTGCTCTCATTTTGGTTTGGTTTCATTCTTTGGCACATACTAAAAATTTTCTAAGGCTTGGAAGAGCTTCACCTGATAAAACATGTCTGAATATATTCACTGTCGAATAAATTTTCTCTGTTACGGGCTTTCCAAAGAAGCTTTTACTGGGGTCTCACCAGCATGAGAACTGTGGGTTCGGAGGCCTGTTTGTGACAACGTTTGCCGTGACAGCAGATCCTACGTATTTTTTCAAGCCTTCTATTTTGTCTGTTGTGTATGATAGTTATAAATGAAACTGTCCCAGAACAGCTGTTAATGTATTATTATTATTTTTTTGGTAGAGCTAATCATAGGTTCTAGGTAAAATGACTGGGTTTTTCTGCTGGTAAAACTCATTTTGAAGTAGAATGAGAATTTGGTCTAAATCTTACAGCACTGACTGTTCTGCTGTGAGATCTTTCCTTGTCTCAGAAAGGAGGAGAGGTGTAGGTGGCCGCTCTCAGTTGTGGACTGCAGACCACAATGTGTAGTTAGGCACCTTTTTCTGTTTTTTAACATAAGTCTCCCTAGCTTAGGAAGAGATTTAGTATTCGCTAATAGGATAGGATAGCTGTTTCTGGCTAACTGCATGGAAGAAAAATTAGGCTGACAAATTTTTCAAGCAGAATTAGTCCTCTGGGTGAAGTTAAAATTTTTGGCGGGGGGGGACGACTATGGAAAATTCCTGGTTTCTAGCCAATGTAATGAGACGTACGCCAGGTACCAACAAGACTCGGCTTGCCAAGATGTTTCTAAAGCCTGTCTGCTTTGCCTTCTGTTGGGTTTTCCTGACCAGTGGCTGCGGAGCCAGGACATCCTGCCAGCAAAGCAAGCAGAAGCATCAGTAAAGCTAATAGCTTCTAAACACTAAAACCTCTTGGGTTCTTGGCAGTCTTGACTGCTTGCTCAGGGGCAGCCCTTCCAGAGGCAAGGCTTCTGCATGTCCTGCTCTGCTCACAGCTCCCCCGCACTTCATAGGGAATCCTTTAAATTGTGGGGTCTGTTCGGATTCAGAACAAAATTTGATAAAAGCAGAATTTTCCAAAATTAATTCTTTTTCATCTCAAACTTCTAAGATAATAATTTAAGAGTAAGTTCTGCTTTATTTTACTTGAGATCAACTGATAACTTTTCTTCTTTTTAACTATTTATAGTTGGAATTAATTTTAAAAAGATCTTTTTGTAGAAACAAGGGAAAGGAGATGAGGAAAGTTGTGTGTTCTGTATCTCCTTGGTATAGATTGTGGCTGTTGCAGCTCTGATTCATCAGAAATTTCCTTTGGATAAGGCTCCACCTCAGCCTCCTTTTCAGACACACTTCTGTGGTATGTACTTGGAACAGTTTGAGTAGGAAAATAATTCCTTTGGAGTTTTTCTTTTGTTGCTGTGGGTTTTTTGTTTTGGTTTGGTTTTTGTTTGTTTGTTTTCATTTGGGTTTTTTTAACTTCATTCTGTCACTCCAGCAATAATGGCTTAGAATAGGTAAGTGACAAAGTTTCAACTCCCAGGCAGGCTTTTCTCCCTATTTTTAACTGTACTGACTACTGACTTTTTGTTGAAGATTTTATTGAAAAAAAACCTTAATTTGAGATGATGCAAAGTAACCCTGCTGTATACAGTTTCCTATCCTTTCTATTAGTTTTACTTTGTCATGTGTTCTCTTGGATTACTTTCTTCACCCATTAATTTAGACCATTTATTTACTGTCACTTAGTTATTTTTCAGTTCAGTTCTTCTGAACAGAATTAAAAAAAGAAACGTCACATTTATTTGTGAACAAGTTTTCTTAGGGGGAAAAAAAAATCTCACAGCAGTGTCATTATAGTAAGATCAGCTAAACCTTGAGATTCAGACCCCAATCAGAAGTGAAGAGTGTTGAAGGCTTGTGAGAGGAAGTTCTTTGGAAGCTGTGGACCATAGTTTTAATCTCCAATGTTAACCTCAAATATGACTTATTAAAATTGTTTAACACTTTATTAATTACTCGGTTATCTTAAAGACAAGTATTCATATAAGGCTTGCTTTTTAGAATTACGAGTTAGTTTTCCTTAGTTGTGGGTATATGCTTATGGGGAGGGTACAGTTAAGAACATGTATGTAAGAACAGATATAATTTCTTTTGCAGTTGTTTCCAAACCAAACGATTGCATTTTTCCTTATGACTTCAAAGAAGCTATTAAAAAGAAGGTAATTTCATTTCGTTAGCCTTCTGATTGTAGTACCTTTTAAAATATTAACTTCATGTTGCTTTGGGTAAGTTATGTAAGTGAAATATTCAAAGGAATGGCATGATTATTCCATTAGTTTTCTACTCTGCAAACCTAAATCCAGGTATTTATTCTGCGTTGCTTGTAAAAACAGAGGCGTGTGCTCTGTGTGATACAGTGCTGCTGCTAGTTGTGCTCATAAAATAGATGGAGTGTTAGACAAGAGACTTGGAAAGGTTTTGCAAAGAGATTAAAATTGTGATTTGTTTTCATTATACCTGACTATGTACTCATAGTAAACTGGGAGAATTTGTTTCTTCTTTCCTTGGAGGGTAAAGTCTGTCAAAATTTAGAAGACATCCTTTCTAAAGGGCACTGGGAGAGCTGGCAGAATAATCAAGTAACCTATATTTGTTTTTCCTCTGTTTCTGTGTGATCTTAAGCCTGTGAGTAAAGGATGCACATGGAGGATTTTCCTGGTGTGCTTGATTCTTAGGAGGCTCCTAAAGTATCACTAGACACCTGCATACAAAAGCAAAATGGAAAAAAGCCTCGGAGAAAAGCTTTCCATGTCTATGGGATTGAAAACAAAAAGCCTTGAATTATAGAAGGAAAGGGAGAACTCTGTAGTGCTTTATTATTGTCTTGTAACTAGTAGGGGAGAGGAGATGTTTCCATTTTAAACTTACTGGGTCATTGAAATCAGGTGCTCTCTTGCTCCTTTTAGAATGCTAAAATAGAAATTGCTGCAACAGAGAGAACACTGCTGGGATTTTTCCTTGCGAAGGTTCACAAAATTGACCCAGATGTTGTTGTGGTGAGTAGTTCTGAGACTTTGAGAGTTAAATTAAAGCATATTGTCAGTTGGTCAGCTTTGTTCTTTTTCTTTTGTCCCCTTATAGTTTTTTTTTTTTTAATGTTTATCTTAGACTGCCTTATGAATTGAATTTGCTTATAAGACAGCAGGTATACTTTGATACAAAGATGATACAGAATTTTCCCTGACAGCATTTTGTACATCCTATTATTTCCCATAATATCTAAAATAGGCAGTATTTCCATAGTACCTGAAAAAAGTATTTTTTTTCTTTACTCAGAAAGACAAAACACAACAAAAAACCCCTTGTGATTTTCTAGAAAAATGGGAACTCGTGGTATATGTAAGAGTCTGTTTCAGTTCAGATGCGCATATAATTTGTGTCACCGTTTAGATTGTGTTTATGCTGTAAAACAAAATTATAACCTCTGTAAATCAAAAGGATAACCTATACAAATCCACAGGATCTGAGCAAAGTTTTGTAATAAGTATTCTTAAGTTTTTCTACTGTATTGGTAGCTGAGAATTTATTATAATTACTCATTTTCTTTTTTTAATTATGTTTAACTAATATACAGTCTTCACTTTAATGAAATTTTGAAGAAAGTTTGAAGTTGGTTATAAATCTGAAGTTGGTTATATACAACTTGTTACTCTTCTGTAGGTAAATACAAATAATTAAGTGGTGGGAATAGGATGAAATGAGCAGTCACATTCCTGGTGTTTTCTGCTCACTGTGGCTGGTATCTGGTATTCGCCCTACGAGCTGAGCTTCTTGGTGGTTATGGGAAGGAATCGGGGGAAACACTGCAGCCAATGGTTTTAAATTGAAAATGCCAGTAGTAGGGGTGTGAGGGCTCTGATCCTAAAAACAGCAGAGCTGTGTTAGTGCAGTTTAATTTGCACCTGGTTTAATTAGTGCTGTTGAAAAGCAAGCTGTATCAATATAGGTAGGACCCCTCTACTATGGCTGTAATGCTGCTGCTGATTTTAAGGAGCTGCTTCTGTAGGACAGTATTGCACTATCCGATATGGTGAACCTGGAGTTCCTGGTGACTGACTGGTCCACATAGACTCATGTTCATCAGGGTAGCATTTTGCTTTCAGCCGAGGTTACAGACCAGTGTCATCATTGTCCTTAGCATTGTTTAAACTTTGCAAATATTGCTGGTCTATTTTGGTATGTAAATACTGATTGCAAAGTCTTCCTGTCCAGATTTAACAGCTATGCCTATTGTAGTATCAAAGGAAAAAAATTACATTATTTTGATGTCAATATTGAGACTTTCATGGATGGAGAGAAAAGGAGTTACTCATAGCTAAGTTTATATGCTGTATAAAAAATGTTGGGTGGCTTTTTTTTTTTTTTCCTAGAAAGCTTTAAATCCTACTCTCTGGTATCAAAGCGTAAAGCTGAATCATGTATGCTATGAACCAGTTATAGAACTGATTTTGGTATTCTGCTGAACAGAACTGTTACTTTTAAGACTAATGAGTACTGTTGATGAGCGTTCTCTTAGTGCTTTCTATGAGAGAGATAATGCCATCAATTAGTTGGAAAAAACCACAGAGGGCAAAGGAACACTGAGTGTGTGAAAGTAAGTCTTTCAATTTGCATTTGTTGTAACCTTTTTTTGTTATTTTTTCTGCTGCAAGGGTCATAATATTTATGGATTTGATCTGGAAGTGCTGCTTCAAAGAATTAATGTGTGCAAAGTCCCTCACTGGTCCAAGATAGGTCGACTGAGGAGGTCCAATATGCCAAAGCTTGGGGTAATAAGATTGCTCAAGTCTTTTAAGCCCCTTTATGTTGCATGTGATTAAAAATGAATTAATTTTGTTGAGGAATTGTAAATGTGACACTGATGTATTTTGACTGTTGGTCATGCTGGATTTCATGTGTCCCAGATAAGAAATGATGTTTATATGACTTTTATTACAGTAATAAGCTAAACTAATTTTCAAGTTAGGCTAATTTAGTTTACGTATCTCAAGTAGATGATGGTAATGACAGATTAATTGCAGTAGTCTTTACTGTAACAGTCTTTGTCTGCTATAACTCTAAAATAAGAAAATGTAATTTGGATTGATTGGTGAATCATCCCATAGAGAGCTGCTAAGTTGGTGGTTCTGTAGTTCTTAGTACGTATTTGTTCAGAGGACTATGTGTGAGGCTTGGAGTCTTGAAGCGCTGAACGTGGCCATGTTCTTTCCTGTTCCTGTCCTTCCTAGAGGCCGAGATGAGTATTTGCATGTGGTTTGTTCTGTGACTTTTTCATCCTGCTGTTAGTATGAAAAATATCCTCAGAGGAAAAACAAAATCCACACCCACATTCTTGTTGGGACTCTTCTAATTATTAAAGAAAAAAAATGCATGACAGTTTAAGAATTAAGATTAACTAGTAATGAGAGTTAAGTAGCTACTTCTTAATATCCACGTATACTGAGAGATACTGTGGGTTCCTTTAGGGCATAATTATAAAGCTTGAGTATTAGTGGTATTTAGTAGAGTATTAGAGTATTTAGTGACCAACTGACTTGACTGAGTCCTATAAGCATAAATTTTGGATAGAAGTTCTTTGTTAATGTTTGTATGTTTCATTTTGTTTGGGTTTTTCTGTCCTTGTGTGATACGGTTAAGGGTCGAGGAGGGTTTGCTGAAAGGAATGCTGCCTGTGGTCGAATGATCTGTGATGTAGAAATTTCTGCTAAAGAATTAATTCGTTGCAAAAGTTACCATTTGTCTGAACTGGTCCGTCAGATTTTGAAAACAGAGAGGATAACAATTCTACCAGAGGAAATTCGAAATATGTACAGGTATGTTACTGATTTGTGGTTTTAATCCTTCACTGGAAAGTAGAGGAGCTAGTTTCCTGCTATACAATTTTGTGCTTGCTTATTTGATTTGTCATGGAGATGCTGACTTAGCATACTGGTATCTGAAAAGTAAAATATCCTTACAGTATTTTATGTTTCAAGCTACTGGTGGGTGGTGGCTTATTATGTGCAAAGAAAATTGATTTGTGAGAGCATTGGTTTAGACATGTTAATAGGGTATACAAGCTTGAGGTTTTGGTGGGTTTTTTCAATAAAAGAGCTTGCTATATAATTCAACACTGCTTACAGATACCACATATTCCATACAGCATATAGGTCTGAACTACTGCAGAGTACAAAGGAGGCTGCTTTTACTTTACTAGGCCATCCCCCTTCTTTTCCCAGTGATTCTCCTCACTTAATGTTCATGCTGGAAAACACCTGGACAGATGCCAAGTTCATTCTCCAGATCATGTGTGAGCTGAATGTTCTGCCACTGGCCCTTCAAATAACAAACATCTCTGGGAATGTCATGGTACATTTTTATTACTTCCTCCTCATCCCCCCACCCCTCCGCCCCTGCCATTGTCCCACAAAAACAGTTTCATGTTTTCTATGTTTGACTTGCTAGTTTTAATTTGTGAACACTAGTTGAGAATATATGATGCTGTAAATTTTTTGTGGTGACAAGTGTGAGAGTTTGATGATCTAGTCAAGTAATAATGTAAAACTTCCATAGAAATACCACATTTGAGTTTTGTGCATGGTGATGATACAGAATAATAGTAATGCTAGGTGAACTTACGAATAGTTGAAGGACGTTGCTTACTGTATTTTTGTATGTCAGTGTTTTCTGTGCTTTGCTTTGAATTCTTTTTTGCCACTCTCTGTAGTCGAGGACAATGATGGGTGGACGATCTGAACGTAATGAATTCTTGCTGCTACATGCGTTTCATGAAAAAGACTACATAGTGCCGGACAAACAAGTTTTTAAAAAGCCTCTGCAGAAGCTGGTGGGTCCAGTTTTTCTCTTTCCAAGAATTTTTATTAAAAAGAAAGAAAAAAAAAAAAACCCCAAACATTCTTCTACCTGTTGCGTATTACTGTTCTGAGAGTACGGAAAACCCAAACGTAGCCAGTTTTAGATATAACTTAATATTACAGCTTATGCTTAATTCATAGCATTTTTTAGTTGATAATGGAGAAATGTATGGTTTAAAGGGACAAGGTAACACCTTTTCCATTGTATCACAGATCTATGGAAACTCAGTTGCTCTTTTAGTTTAAAATTGAAATAAGCTAAGTACTTGGCTGTG